CCAACCCGCTCCCAGCTGAGGCTCTGGAGGCTCCAGCCCCCAAGCAGAGCCTTCCCGTGCTGGGAATGCGGCTCTGGCAGGGGCTGGGAGAGAGGAGCCAGCCCTGCTGCTGCAGCAGCCCCCCACAAACCCTGAGCCCTCTCTCCTGCCGCAGGGGGACAGTGGGGGTCCCCTCGTCTGCAAGGACCACAGAGCCGACCACTTCTGGCTGGTGGGAGTGACCAGCTGGGGAAAAGGCTGTGCTGGGGACAAACGACCTGGAATCTTCACCTCCACTCAGCATTACCATGACTGGATCCTACTCCAGATGGGATTGCTCCCAGCAGTAAAAGCCACTCCAGTGCCAGAGCCAACCACTGCCTCAACTCCTGAGCAGAATCCAGAGCCAGAGGCCAGCCCGACCCCTACGGAGATGCCAGTGAAGTTGGACAATTTTACACCCGTTTCGATCCAACAGCAGATACTGGGGCAATTCTTTAACCTGCTCCTGGAGCTCCTGCAGTTCCTAAAGGGAAAAAAGACTTGAACAGTTTCATGAGCAGATCCAGTTCTGGCTGCAGTGGACTACAACCATTCCCTGATGGGGCCAAGACCATTCCCTGTTGGGACCACGACTGTGGGGCAAAAAGTAGCCCCAGTGCCCAGGGCTGCTCTGTCCTGCCCATGCTCCGCCCCTGAGCCCACCCCGATGGTGAGGCTCAGTGTCTTATTGAAATAAAGTTGTTTGTGTTCCCCATTAACCGTGTTTTCAGCCCAATTCCGTCTCCTGTGAAAGGTAAAGACAGGACAGTCTGGGAGGCAGGAGGGAAAATGAGCAGGACTGGGGGAGACAAGGGCAGAGACAGGGAGGAGTGGAGGGAGGGGATGGGGAAGTGGCTGAGCCCGGCAGGTGGAGAGAAGGGGCATCAGCTCCAGTGCCACACACAAACTGCTGGGTGGCTGCTGCTGGCACTGAGCCCTGCACCCAAACCCCACGGGCTGCCAGAGAAACTCCTCCAGCCCAGGTTTCCCACAGCACAGCCTCGGGTGTCCCATTCCTGGGAAAAGCAACTGAAAGCCGGAGCGGTGCAGCAACAGGAGCAGCTGGAGCGGGGAGTGCTGGAGCCACGAGGGCCGTGGGGGTGCTGGAGGATGCCCACCCTGAGCTGCTGCTGCCCACCCAGACGTGTCCCCTCTGCACCAAGGTCCTGCCCCTGGGGCTGCCGGGACCCCCCATCCCTCCTGCTCCCGCGGTGCCCTCGAGTGGAGAGGTCGGACCAGACGGCGCATTGTGGTCCCTCCCAGCCTGACCCATCTGTGACCGCCCCGGCCTCTCGGGACTCCAGCAGCTGTAGCAGAACTGCAGTAGTTGTACAGGCACAGGCTGTAGTACAAATAGAAGCTGTAGTAAAACTCCTACGTGTAGTACAACTCCAGCGCGCTGGGAAGGACTACAATTCCCAGCATGCCCCGCGGAGCCGCGGTCATGTGATTTCCCCTTGTGCCACTCCGAGTGGGAGGTACCGGGACCTCCCCGGGACCGCGGGGACACTGCTGGGACATCCACCGGGACACCGCCCCGACAGCACCGGGACCGCCCCGGGGCCGCGGGTCCAGCGGGGACACTGCGGGGACATCCACCGGGACACCGCCCCGACAGCACCTGGCACCGCTGGGCACCGCCAGACACCGCCTGGACACCGCCGGACATCACCGGGACAGCGCCAGGCAGCACCAGGCACCTCCGGGACAGCGCCGAGGCATCGCCGGGCATTACCGGGACATCACCGGGACAGCGCCGGGCACCACCAGGCACCGCCGGGACAGCGCCGGGGCATTGCTGGGACACTGCCGGGACACTACCGGGACAGCGCCGGGACATCACCGGGAACCCACCGGGCATCACCGGGATATTACCCGGCCACACCCGGGAGACCACCGGGGCGCCCCCGGGCACCCCGGGACACCCTCCAGTGCAGCCGCCATGGCCCCGCGGGGCCGGGACCGCCCGTGGGCGCTGCCGCCGCTGCTGCCGCTGCTGCCGCTGCTCCTCCCGCCGTCCCCGCTCGCCGCGGCCGCCGCCCGGCCCAGCTTCGTCCTGGTACTGGCGGACGACCTGGGCTTCGGGGACCTGGGCAGCTACGGGCACCCTTCCTCGGCCACGCCGCAGCTGGACCGGCTGGCGGCCCGCGGGCTGCGCTTCACCGACTTCTACAGCAGCGCCGCCGTCTGCAGCCCCTCCCGGTACGGCCCGGCATCGTCCCGCTCTGCTCCGACCTGGGGCGGCCCCACCTGCAGGACTGGGGCGGTTTGGGGGGACACAATGGAAGGAAGAGATTGAGCCATTAGAGGGTGTCCAAAGGAGGGCAAGGAAGATGGGGAAGGGCCTGGATTTGAAGGCGTGTGAGGACACTGAGGGCACTTGGTGTGTTCAGCTGGAGCAGAGGAGACTGAGGGGAGACCTCACTGCAGTTCCAACTACCTGGGCAGGGGCAGAGGAGGGGCAGGACTGAGCTCTGCTCTGGGGGGAGCAGGGACAGCCCCCAGGGAATGGCTGGAGCTGTGTCAGGGCAGGCTCAGGGTGGATCTCAGGGAAAGGTTCTTCCCACAGAGGGTGGTTGGTACTGAACAGGCTCCCCAGGGCAGTGGGCACAGCCCCAAGGCTGCCAGAGCTCCAGGAGGGTTTGGATGAATCTCGAGCACATGGTCTGACTCTCTTGGGGATGGTCCTGTGCGGGGCCAGGAGTTGGACTGGGTGATCCTTGTGGGTCCCTTCCCAGTCAGCATATCCTGAGACTCTGTGACCCCAGCGGGAGTGTCCATGCCGGGAGGGGCGGGCAGCGGATAATCCTGACAATCTGGCAGTCCCGGCTGACAGGAGTCTCCTCCCCTGCAGGGCAGCGCTGCTGACGGGCCGGTTCCAGGTGCGCTCCGGGATCTACCCCGGCGTGTTCGACCCGGGCTCACGGGGGGGGCTCCCGCTCTCCGAGGTCACCATTGCCGAGGTGCTGAAGGCTCAGGGCTACGCCACGGCCATGGTGGGCAAGTGGCACCTGGGCGTGGGGGCCAACGGCTCCTTCCTGCCCACCCACCAGGGGTTTGACCACTTCCTGGGGGTGCCCTACTCCCACGACCAGGTGAGGGGACTGGTGAGCCCTGGTGCGTGGGGACGTGTGTCCTTGGTGGCGGGACGGGGTGGGGGGGTGGGCTTCTGGGTTACAAAGACACAGTTGCCACCGGGAGAAAATGCTGTCGGGGCAGCACAGATCTGGGACAGTTTTAGCGTGGGAAAAGACCTCTGGGCTTCTGGGAGCGGCCGCTCAAAGGGTGCTCATCGTGGTGGGTCGCTCTGAGACTCTTTGCTCCTCTTCCTTCCCCTGCCTGTCCTGCAACACAGCTCAGATCCCAAGTTCTGTGTCCTCTGCAGGGCCCCTGTCAGAACCTCACCTGCTTCCCACCCGACATCAAGTGTTTTGGGACCTGTGACCAGGGTGTGGTGCCGCTCCCTCTGCTCTGGAACCAGACCATCATCCAGCAGCCCGTGTCCTTCCCTGACCTGGTGCCGCTCTACAACAAATTCTCTCGGAATTTCATCGCTGACTGTGCCCGGCGGGGCCTCCCTTTCCTGCTCTACTACGCCTCCCATGTAAGAGAGGGGTGGGGAAGGGCAGGGAAGGGTGTCCCCTGTGGAGAGCAGGGGAGCACCTCCCCTCCTGCAGCCCCAGAACCTGCACCTGGGTGACCTGGTCTTGCTTTCCCAGCAAAGACAAGTCTTCTGGGATAATGCTTTGGGGCTCCTTCTTTCTGGAGCTTTTCCCACTTCTCTGGGCCATCCACCAGGGAAAGCTTCCCACTGTGGGGCTCCACGTCCTGTCCTGGGGGCTCAGCTGCTTTGTGCCACTGCTGAGAGGTGCCTGGGGAGAAGTGTCCTCTCAGCTCATGGGTGTTGTCTCCTCTCCCCGTGTCCTCGCTGGGGCGCTGCCTGTTCCTGCTGGGGACTCTGGGGGCTGGTTCCCACCTTCTCTGCCTTTCCCCAGCACACCCACTACCCCCAGTTTGCCAGCCAGGAGTTCGCGGGGCGGTCCCGGCGGGGGCCGTTCGGGGACGCGCTGGCGGAGTTCGATGGCTCCGTGGGACAGCTGGTGCAGGCTCTGCAGGAGCACGGCCTGGAGAACAACACCCTGGTGTTCTTCACCTCTGACAACGGGTGAGCGGGCTCAGCAGGGGGGGCTTCGCCGCTGGGAGGATTCTGCTGCCGTGGGATGGGGGATGAGGCGGCGGTTGGGTCGTGGGGCGGCACTGCCAGGTGAGACCCCAGGGACGTGAGGCGGGGCAGGAGGTACCCAGTGCACGATCTCTTCTGTGTCCCTGTGACCCAGCTGGGCCAGAAACCTCACAGGGGTCAGACCAGGAGTGGCAGCAGCCCAAATTTCCCCCGATTCCCTCTGTGTGTGGGTGCCACTGGACTGTGGTGCCCCTCTTAGGTGTCCCACACACCTTGGCTTCTGCAGCTGCCCCCTAAGGCTGAGCAGGGTGGCACCAGGTCTCGCTGGTCGTGGCCCCGCTGGCAGGGGCAGTGGGAGCCCGTGCCCCTGATGGCAGGTGGTTCTTGTCCCCCAGCCCCTCCACCATGCGGATGGCACGCGGAGGCAGCGCTGGCCACCTGAAGTGTGGCAAGGGCACAACCTACGAGGGTGGCATGAGGGAACCAGCAGTGGCTTATTGGCCGGGCCGGATCGCCCCAGGTGAGCCTTGGCACCGCCTGTGCCAGCCCAGGCACCTCAGCCATCCCGGGTGGGATGGAAATGGGGATGGCCGGGATGGGAGCGGGATCAGGGGCTTGAACTTCTCCTCGTGCCAGGAGTGACACACGAGCTGGCAAGCACCCTGGACATCCTGCCAACACTGGCTGCCCT